TGTGCTCCGCAATGGGAGAGGCCGCAACAGTGAGAGGTCCGCATACCGCAAAAAAAAAAAAAAACAAGGTTAAAAGGTTACCATAATAATATTTATGGAGCATTTATATATTATATCACATGTATAATATATATATATATATATATATATATATATGTATGTATGTCAGGCATGGCACTAAGCCCTTTCTACGCATCACCTTTGAGCCACAAATAACCCTATGAAGTGGGTACTACTATGAGTCCTATTTTTAGCACACAAGTTGGAAGGAGTTTAGAGATGAACAAAGGAAGACTCAGAGTAGTTAAATAACCTGTCCAAGGTGAGGATGGGAGAACTTAGAGCTAGAGGTCTGAATTCTAGTTTCCTGATGAGAATCTGTCTCCCACTGTATTCTCTGGGGTGTCCTTCAAAGGTGGCAAAATAAAGAAAACAAGATCCCCACCTTGTAAGGGCTACATTCCCACTAATGACACAGGAAGCTGAGGTTTCTTTTAAAAGCCATTACCTCAAGCATATTAATCTCCACTCATAAGGACTGGCTACAGACACAGTTAGTAACAGCGCAATACAACTGCACGCCCTTTCATCCAAGGGTTTCAAAGGGCTTTGTCAACGCTAATTATGCCCCCAAACCCTTGGGAAGTGGTGACTGGTTCAATTTTATGAGCATTTAAAGTCAAGCAAGGAAGCTGCCAGCAGCCCAGGGGTTACACAATTTGAACACACACCTACCAGCCGACCTCAAGTGCCTGGTGGAGGGCAATTCAGAGTTGAGGCGACAACCAGCAGGGCTCCTGACATTAAGTTCCTCCTCCAAACCTCAGCACCGGAAACTGTGAAATGGTGGTGTCCAGGTCTACTGGCAGGGAGGGAGGAGGACAGCAACAGGAGCCTCCAGCTCTGGACACTGCTGGGAGACTTCTCGACCCAGCATGCTCTGCTTTTGGCTGAGGAACCACCCGGGGGTTTTCACCAAAGTTATTCAAAGTGTTAAGTGCTCATAAGTACATGTGGACGGCTAACCCAGGACAGGGATTCGATCTTGGGATCAATGACTCTGTGCCTTACAAAAAGGTGCAGACTGAAACACCGGTGCGCCCACTGAGGGGCAGGTTCAAGCCATGGCTCCAACAGACCCAGCCATCAAGGGAAGGGGGCAGCAGACCCAAAGTCACTTCCCTCTCTGCTTCAGCTTAAAGATACAGATTCTGAAGACCAGCAGACCTGGGCTGGGGTCCTGCCTCTGCCACTTACTGCTGTGTGACTTCAAGGCAATCACTCTGAAGCCTCAGCTTTCCCTCTGAAAAATGAAGCTGACTGTAAACCCTCAGTAATAAATATTAAAACAATTCTAGCGGCTACCATTATTATTTTTACAATTTTCATTTTTATCATCATCATTAGCATTAGCAACAGCTCTAAGGACCCTTCTGGCTCTGACATTCTCTGATCCAAGAACTGATCTTTCACCAGCTACAACTCTGAAAGAAAAGAAACTTTTCGCAGAAAAGCAGCCAAAGGTCGCAGAGGCAGGAAACCTTGGATGTTGGTATCCAAGTGAAACCTCAGCTCAGATCTCCTGTTCCAGTGCCTGCTTTACATCTGCCAACAACAGCATCTATTTACATACCGCAGTGACAAGACTGTCATCACTTGCTATTTAAACTGAACTCTCATAGTCCCTTGGGCTTAAAATGCTAACAGTTAAGTATAAACTGCATTCTGGCTTGCTCCGAGGGTTACTCATATTCAAATGCAAGGGAGGCAGCAGGCTGGCTAGCGGGCTCTGCTGCACCCATGACCTGGCTTCAGGCCAGCTACCTGACGTTTACCTTCTCCAACAGGTAAGGCGTTACCTTATCTACGACTGCTACTTCGACACTTAATAACCAGTATCAGGGAGAGAAGGGGCCTTGCAGAGTGCCCAGCACAATGTAGGCAAGAGGAAGTGGTGGATAAAACCACGGGCTTTGGCAGAGCACAGGCTTGTTTCAAATTCCAGTTTTATGACCTATTGACTGTGTGGTCTTGGGCAAGTTAATTAACGTCTGTGCCAGTTTCCTCATTTGTGCCAGTTTCCTCATTACCTAAGCCCTACGTCTAATCACTTAGATAGGAACAGGTAGGGATTTGAAGCCTAGCCTTCTTCCCTTTATTCCCCCTGGTACTTTGGTCACAGCTCATCACCCTTTGTTCACATGCCTATCTGCCACCTCAATTCTTAAGCTCTTTGCTACAGTCACTATGACTTATTTACCTTTTCTCTGGCATGAAGATATTTCTGTAATAAGTAACTGAATAAAATTTGTGATTAAAATGGAAACTTATTAGAAACCTCATCAGGGAGAGTGTTCTGTGTTTGTCTATTTGGCATCCATTCACCACAAGGGCAATTATATTAACTATATTTTCTTATTTTCTGTATTCTTGATGCACTGGCATTTGTGACCTCGCTTGTTGGGGAGAGACTGCCTCTTCCAGGGCTATCCAATTTTTTTTTTTTTTTGCGGTATGCGGGCCTCTCACTGTTGTGGCCTCTCCTGTTGCGGAGCACAGGCTCCGGACGCGCAGGCTCAGCGGCCACGGCTCACGGGCCCAGCCGCTCCGCGGCATGTGGGATCTTCCCGGACCGGGACACGAACCTGTGTCCTTTGCATGGCAGGCGGACTCTCAACCACTGTGCCACCAGGGAAGCCCTATCCAATTCTTAGAGA